AATATTATCGATGGAGGTAAGTAATTACATTCAATATACTAACTGGTATAACCAATATTATCGATGGAAGTAAGTAATTACATTCAATATACTAACTGGTATAACCAATATTATCGTTGGAAGTAAATAATTACATTCAATATACTAACTGGTATAACCAATATTATCGATGGAAGTAACAACAACAAGTAAAGTATCGTACCTTATTTATGGAACCCACAAACACTAGTTCTTGTTTTGAGTTATATCCTATTATGTCTTTAATGGTACTTTATTAACAGTATTGGTTAAAATGATTAATGTATTTAGTTTTGTGGTTTTAAATTTAGTATTATTACAGTCTTATTATAAAGATTGTTGTCTTTTGTTAGCTTCACATATGATGTAGAACTAAGATAAATATTCTAAGCTGATCAAACCTTGTGAGATGTTGGGTTTATGGCCAAAAATATCATTAACCGCAATGGCACAGAAATGATGAAACAATATATTATAATCTGTACAAGTTAGAACATAATAAAAGTATATATAATTAGCTGTACTCTCTACTGGCTTGATTTTTAGATTTGATTTAACATGGCAGTTTGCTTTGATCAAAAGGTAATATTAATTAATGGTACCATTTAGTCTTTTAATTAGTTTTAATCAAAATACTACACATCTGTAATCAGTAATGTCACTATGTTTCTATGATCATGAGAGTGTTATTCATCACTACAAAACACTGGTTCGTATATTGTAAAAATATTTGTCAATACATTCCCAAATTTAATTTAAAGTAACTATTTCAATCACTAGTGAATTCAAGCCTGAGAAGCAATATTCAAGTTCTTAAGTAGTAGTATATAATTAAATTGACATTTTTAAATACTGTTAGTTTAAATCCTCCTTATAGATTATTTTATCAACATATTTCTGCTGGAGTGATGTTTGGAGTATGGTTGTGAAAATCAGTGAAGTTGATATTCTAAGGTGGAAGATTTCTTGCAACGATATAAAACAATTATAGAAAATCTAAACCAAACTATATACATTTTTAAAGCTTAAACTAGACTCTATTTACTAAGTTTTAATACAGTTTAGTTAAGTGTTTCCAGTGTGTAAATGAAAAAGTTGAGAAGTATCAGTGATACCCCCATATCAGGTCTGGGATGGGTTATTTAGTGACAAAGACAGTGTCTAAAGCTAAAAGTATTATACCAGTAGTACACTTAAGTATAACTGTCATTTACTAGTTGTGACTGGACATGGGGTGGTTTCCCCTTGGGAGTATAGCAGGGGAGAAACAAGTTTCTCAAAACTCCTTTTTTATATACTCAGAAGCTGGTCTTAAATGAATGTTAGAAGTATTAGTAAAAAATATTGCATGGTTTTCACTTATTTCATATAATTGAATTTAGGCCATTTGATTTCCTCTTGAAACAATAATTCCACCCACTCCTGGGATGTTGTTTTTTACTCTTGATCATGGAATGGTAAAATTATTCTTTGTTGGAAATGTTAGATTAAATGGTTACTAGCAAGTAAATAGGACATCCACTAAGAAAGAATACCATTTTATTAACAAACATGAAACAAAGGATTATCACTAATATTTAGTGACTGTCCTTTGCAATTTTTAAATCAGAAACATGTTTACACATTTTATTAACGAGATCTGAAATCTGAGACTTCGGGATTGCACCCCCACTCCTTGGATGCCCTTAGAGATTGGTTGTTTGAGATCCTTTTGTAGAGAATTATCAAGGTGTGACCACACACACACTCACAAGGGCAGTTGGCCAGGTCACAGAGGAGTGGTAATGCCAGGATTTTTAAGCCATTGTTTTGTGACTAGATCTGAGTTGAAGCCTCATTTGGCTTTTTCTGGTAAACTGATAATTTTCGTAGTCAACTAGGAAGGCCTTGTTAAAGAATTTTGATGTATCAAGCAGTAGTGACTGTCTCTTCACATACCACCTGCTGTGATCATCCACCTGCCAAAATAACATTGCATATCATAACAAAACATCTTGTCATGGCTTGCAGATGGTTCAGAAAAAGTACCTGAGAGAAGAGCTTCCAAACCCAGGTGCAACAAATACAGGAAAATTGCCAGTAAAACATTAGTGTTCCAAAAGGCAGGATAACTTCAGTGATACCCATTGCCGTCATTGTATATGGTATTTCCTAGAGTTTGGAATGGTTTCTCTCTAGCTACTTTAATACTGTAGCCCATGCCACGAACAGAACTTCTGATGGTATTAGGACACACTTGCAATAGTGGCATCCATTTGACACGGGTAATCCTCCACAATTTTCACAGCAAAAAGAGTGTTCTGTTAGTTTTGCATGTGTGGAAAGTGTTGTTTTCTGACATCACTGAATTCCCATTGTCACCCAATTTACTGTGGACAGGCACACTGCAAATGACTCTGCAATTTTTCTTTAACCTTAACAACCCTCCCTTCGTCTAACTGACCTTGTGAAAATGGTACGATATTGTACGATCTTTACTTAGTTATGCCCGTATTTATACATAGGTGCTACTTGCAGGTAACAGCATCAAGTTGATTGGTTTGCCCTCTGCTTATTTAGTTGGAGGTTGTATACAAGTTCGGTTGAAAGCTAACATTTATTAGGACATTTCTGTTATAATTTAGGATTTTCTGTAATCTTAAGACTACAGTCAAATTAAGAAAATAATTCTAACATCAATACCTATCCAAATTTTGTTAAAATATAATTTCAGTAAGTAGTGTACACTGTGAATGACATATCTGGAATTGTCATCCTACATGTATTTAACTACCTGGTAGCTAGGATGCTTGACCCGTGATCTGTTTGTCGCAGGATTGAACTCCATAGATAAAAGGGCTTGCCCTTTCAGCTGTTTTGGCATTATAAAGTGATGGTCAATCACACTATTTACTGGTAAAGAGCAGCCCAAGAGTTAGCAGTGGGTGTTATTGATTAATTGCTTTCTCTCTAGTTTATCACTGCTAAATTAGGGATGACTAGTGCATCTAGCTCTCAACAGCTAGTTTGTGAAATTCAAAAACAATTTTATGTAATTATAACTTGTATGTAGATGGTTAACATCAGTTTTGAAAGTTCAATAATCATTGGTCTTAACATTCTACACATAATAATAATAATAAAAACTTAAAAAGGTTAAACACAGAATGCAAATTGAATCTCATTTTTCATTTTGAGATTTCATTTTTATATTAGTTATTAACATTCAAGTTTTCTTCATGAAGTTCGTGTCTTTGCTTTACAATTAGCGATGTACGTGGTAATCTAAAAGTTTAAAAGTCTTACAAACTTTGAACTTTTACAGTGTGTAGCGAAACATGCCAAAGCTCAACATGTGATCACCAGGGCAGGTGCTGTCACAAGGAATGTCTTGGTGGGTGTAATGGGATATCATCCAGTGACTGTAAAAGCTGTAGAAATGTTGTATATGTTGACCGCTGCCTGGAGAAATGCCCTTCACTGACTTATCAGGTTGGTTGGAGCTTCAACGTGATTTTTGTCTCATTAAGAAATCAATCTTAAACAACTGGTATTCGTTTAGAAAGGGTGGGGGGGTGGGTCTTTATATATATATATTATGTTTATAGGGTTGTGTGTTTCTTTTATCTTCTCATTTAAGTTGAGAAATTTCTATAAACTAATAGCTAGAAAGTAATTCTTTTCTCTTGTGTTTCTTTGGTAATTATAGTCTTAATTAAACTATTTTAAAGAAATTACTAAGATTGCAATTCCTTAATTTGCTGCTATAAGAAATGGGTGTAAATGTCAGTTTGTATTTTTTAACTTGATGCGGTGAGATTTGTAGTCTCAGGTTTGATAAACAAGATGTAAACTCCTCTATTGTGTTTTAAAGAGTTGAATGAGAATCACTGTTTAAGTAGTTGTGGAGCTGGATTAAAAATACTCGTGTGTGTTGTAAAACTTCCTGTATTTTACTGTGTTTTGTGGAGTCTGCTGTCCAGAAATGTGTCCAGTTCTATCTATTAAAGAAAGCACTTCTATTAAGATTTTTGATGAAGGCTTTATTAACTGATGAAACTGAGAGATAGTTTCCTGCATATTTCTTCTCTGGGAGCTGGTTGAAATCCTTTATTTTGCAGTTAATGGTTATTGGTACATTGTTTAATTTCTAATTCAAACTTTAAAGGCTTATTTACAACATACAAAGTTTTTAAAAATAAACTGACTATAATACAAAGGTTTGTTTTCTCCATTAACTAAATTTTTTATTATTATTATCAGACAATCTTCAAACTTTTTATTTACTGTAATTTTTGTCTTTTACTGTTTAATTGTTAAAACTTACTATGTTCTTAACTTGTAAATTTTTAATTACTTATTGATATATCGTTATTTGTTGTTTTTGTAGCATATGGGATGGAGATGTATCGATGAAAATGTTTGTCGGAGTATGGTAACAAATGAAATTTTAGGCTCTGAAGGAAATACGAGAGAGATTTATTGGAAGCCAATAGATAAACTGAGAAGCTGTATGCAAGATTGCCCTGTTGGTTATGTAGAAAATTCAACTGATAGACACAGGTGTATAAAGTGTTCCGGCCACTGTCCCAAAGGTGAGTTAATAGCTTTGTAAATCATTTCAAACATCACTTCTCATTCAAAGTTAGTAGAGTTTGATTTTGAGCTTTTATAATAAAAAAAATATATATGCAGTTAAAAACTTTTTTAATAAAAAAAGGGAACTGCTTTGTCTTCAGTTATAACAATAAAAACAGTTAAGGAACTGCTTTGTCTTCAGTTATAGCAATAAAAACAGTTAAGGAACTGCTTTGTCTTCAGTTTTTACAATAAAAACAGTTAATTGTCTTCAGTATAACAATAAAAACAGTTATAACAATAAAAACAGTTAAGGAACTGCTGCTCTGTCTTCAGTTATAGAGTTCCTTAACTGTTTTTATTGTTATACTGAAGACAAAGCAGTTCCTTAACTGTTTGGCTTACAATCTTATAATTACTTATTGGAATTTCATATTTATTGCTTTACATTATGCAAAGCTGAATTATATTGAAACAGTTAGTGATAATCTTGTGCACATAAAACACACATTATTTAAACCTCAATCTAATGTTTAATTGTTATAGTGTCAGATAATATCTGGATTTGTTGTAGTGTCAAAAAGTATTTCAACCCATGTTAGCAGTTTACTTGAATTTCTCCAGACAGTTTGTATTTACGTGGTTTCAAGGTTGATTTATAATTGTACATTTTGTACCTAACAAAGAATTAAAGCTAGCAGCAAAGTGTAGAACTTTAGAGAAGGAGAAATTTTTGTAGAAATGAATGTATGCTAGTCAAACTGAATTCAATAGCTAGCATTTTAATAAAGATTTCTCTTGAAATAATTTATCCATTGCCCAATATTTTATTAGAGAATGAACAAGAAGAAAGGGAAATAATTATTTAATTCTATGATATATAGAAGGGTAGTAAATTTCTGAAACCAAATTGGCAGATTGTAATTATTAGTCCTAGTGTCTCTTTACAACTAACTTGTGTTTCGTCAATTTCTAGTTTTTTAATATTGCAAATAAATCTAGAACTATATTTCTGAAGACTACGAACTGTTAACGCTCTGTTGTGAACTTTCAGAAATCTGTGTCTAAGAACATAATATTTGTTTTTTTTACTATATCTGTGTACATGTGGAAATACAGTTTGTAAAACATACTGCTTATTACACTGTCAAACATATCTAGTTGTAAATATGAACAGACTTCCACTTGCATTGCTGAGATTTGACACGTTTTTGTCTTCTTATAGTGTGTCCCGGAACAGTAGTTGATAGTGTTGCAGCTGCACAGAAGTTGTCAGGATGCACCACGATTAATGGGTCTCTCATCATCCAGATACACAGTGGAGGCGAGTCTCATTTTAACATTTCTTAGGAGTTTGGTTATAAACTATAAAGGGAATAAGAAGAGTATCAGTTGTGTGTTCAAACTGTAAGATCAGATTAGCTTTATCACAAAACATTTTACATGATCGCTCTCATATACACTGACGAGTCAATAAAACGTATGACGTTTTGAATGAGAATTGGAAGTGTTTGTTATAAGATGAAATGTTCTTGTCAGTATTTGTGTACTTTCTTATATCTGTTTTGTGTTTGTTTTTTCAGCTAATGTTATTGAAGAACTAGAAGAAAACCTGAAGTACATTCAGAATATAACAGGCTTTTTGAAAGTGTTTCGATCTTATCCGTTGGTTTCTCTAAACTTTCTTAAAAACCTGAGGGATATCCATGGAGAGGAATTTGAAAAACAAAAGTAAGACTTGTATATCACACCGACTGTTTGCATCTGATATTGTATTAAATATCGTCATAAGATTGGTAATGACACTACAGACCTGTGATAGTCTAACTGTCTGGAAATTTTTGTATGTTCTACAATAATATCTGTACACTAAGTCCGAAAATAATATCAGTTTTTCTCAGTCACATAAATTAGTAAGAATTTTAATTTACATTCTTTCTGATATTTTTAACAGAGTTTTTGACAGTATTTTATTTACAGTTTTTTATTAACTCTTACTTAAATAACTACAGAATTTTACAAATAGATATAATAGCACGTTGATGTCTGAATCCAACATGAACTGAGCAACATAATTAAGTATTCCTTTTTTTTTTCCAGTTATTCATTACTGGTATATGACAACCAGAATTTGGAAGACCTCTGGGACTGGAAGAGCCGGAATTATACACTTCGCTTCCGTCAGGGTAAAATCTTCTTCCATTTTAACCCCAAGCTGTGCCCAGAAAGGATTACAGAACTCAAGAATTACTCCACTGTCAGAAGCTGGGATGAAAGAGATGTATCTCCTAGCTCTAATGGTGATAGAGTAGCATGTAAGTTTTATCAGACTCTTGTTTTGTGTTTTACCACTATTTCTATACAGGATAGAAATTAAGATTTTTTCATTGTTGAAATACTATTATATTCATTATTTTATTGTTGTTTCTTTAATTTGTTTAAACAAATATTGTTTTACACATCTTTGAAGTATTTGCACTAGTTTTTCTACAACTTGTAAATAATTCATTTCGTTTTGAGTGTTTTTTGAGAGGCTCTTTTATCAAAATATTAAACTGATTTACAGTCATGCAATATTTTAATATTCTTCTTCTCTTTTTTTACTTCTGTAAATATTTTGGTTCATCATTAAAAGATTCCTATATAAGTAAATACATATATTAATTGTGTTTACGGTTCATCATTAATAGGTTCCTGTATAAGTAAATACATATATTAATTGTGTTTACGGTTCATCGTTAACAGATTCCTGTATAAGTAAATACATGTATTGATTGTGTCTATGGTTCATCATTAATAGGTTCCTGTATAAGTAAATGCATATATTAATTGTGTTTACGGTTCATCATTAATAGATTTCTGTATTAGTAGATGCATATATTAATTGTGTTTACGGTTCATCATTAATAGGTTCCTGTATAGGTAAATGCATATATTAATTGTGTTTACGGTTCATCATTAATAGATTTCTGTATTAGTAGATGCATATATTAATTGTGTTTACGGTTCATCATTAATAGGTTCCTGTATAAGTAAATGCATATATTAATTGTGTCTACGGTTCATCATTAATAGGTTCCTGTATAAGTAATGCATATATTAATTGTGTTTATGGTTCATCATTAATAGGTTCCTGTATAAGTAAATGCATATATTAATTGTGTTTACGGTTCATCATTAGAAGGTTCCTGTATAGGTAAATACATGTATTGATTGGGTTTGTGGTTTTCTCCAGGTAATGTGACATCACTGGAAGCATCTCCTTGGCGTGTGTGTTCGAGCATGGCTGGAATATTGTGGGAGAATTTCAGGAATAAAGTTGGTGACCATCGTTCACTCCTTGGTTATACAATACATTACAGAAAAGCGTAAGTTAACATTTTATCATCACATATAGACTAAAGAGATTTTGTTTCTTTAAGGCTCCTTTCAGCTGAATATTTTGTAACTTTTTCTGTAAAAATATCTCCCTGTGGTAGATCTTATGGGTTTCAGAACTGGTAAGCATGATGAATTGAATTTGTTTGATATCACAACATATATTTTAGCTGTGAGTACATTATAAGTACTTTATCCTGGATGGTAGGTTGCTGCTGACCAGCTGCATTCCCTCTGGTCAGTAGTTCAAAATTAGATTGGTGGCAGACTTACTAAGAATCTTGACAAGATTTTAACAGAAATTACGAGTCTATTGCACTATTTTTTTTACATATTATTTGTCTGTAAATTTCTGAAGCCTTTATTGATTCAATTTGAGTGAAAGGTGATTTACATACTAAGAATAAAAATTCATCTCTTCATCTTACAGTTTTCATATTTCACTTACATAACCTCCTAAATGCATACCAAGTTTATCTTTTATTTTCTTTACTGTAACAGCAACTATAGAGATCACCAACGTACAATGAAATGAAAAAATATGAAATACAAATCATACCTTTTTTTTTTCTATGCACAGACTGGAGTATTGATCAGAATCTTCCAAGTTGCTTATCTGAATAGTTTCATCTTTAAAGTTTTTTACATCTGTTTTCTTTTAATGTTATGGTTTTATTGGTGCACTTTGTACTCACTAAAACAGTTATCCTTTCATTATTAACTACTTCCAGTAATACATCACATGGGGTATGCTTAGACACAAACTTGTGAAATTTTAAACATTTTAATTTACTAAAGTTATGTTAGGCTTAAATGAGAAGTTTCTAATTTTTAAGTTTCAATTACTTATGTGGAAAAAAATATAACAACAGATAATATATATATATATATATATACTTACAAAAAGATTTGTAGTACTCGCTGTGTCTTGAGCTCGTTTACACTTCGTTCTTATGTAAGCATTATTGAGTTTCACTAATTTGTGTGTCCAGAAAAGAATTAATGTAGAACATAAAAAATATATTAGTCACTAGAATAGAATGTCCCAAAATTACTATAAGTTATCTGGCTTTCTAAGTAAACTATAAATAGGGTAAACAAATTCTCTTAGTCAAATCGGGTAGGATAATGTTGATCACAGACAAAGGAATTACATGCGACTGTATAGTTTTGTATACCTAAATAAAATAACTAATCAGTCTTATGTAGAGAAGAATCTGATTTTCCTTTTGGTTATAACCATGTTGATCGGGCATGTAAAGTTGCTTAGCAACACACAGTTTCGAAAGTCCCTAGTAGATGTGACAAGTATATCGTCAAGTCAAGAAGGAAGAAGGTGCAAGTTTTGGATTCCCTCTTGTCATTATGTTCAGTTTGTGTTGTAAACTCTAGCAGTTTATTTTAGAAGTTAGTAAATTCTGAATTGGAGAAATCTGACATATCAAACTACATTTAGGTCTGAAAGCCTCTTATTATATAATTGACTTGTGTAGACAGGGTTCTGCTTTTGAGAAACCCTTTTGTTACTCTGTTGAATGAAAGAATCTTGCAAGTTTTGAAGAGCTGGATCCAATGTAGCTCCTTTTGCTACTATCCCCGAACCTCAACCCTCCACAACACCTACATTACTTCTTCAAATACAAAATGATATTCAGTTTCATAAATCACTTATCTTACTTCATATGACACTGTTTTAGAAGTGACTAACTTGCTTGTACTTTTGAAAAAACTTTTGCATGTTTTAAATTAACATTGTTAGTATTAACCTCAAGTTCGGCTACTTCAGAGTTGGTAACCTATGCAAGAATGATGTTTGTTAGGTCATTGGGATCAGTATTAGATATCTTACAGGTTGATACTTTATTTTTGTGAAAGAGTATGAAAGATAGTATTTGAAGTGTTGGGGGGGGGCATGAAATATTGTGCTAAAAATTTAAATAATAAGTAAGAATAAAATATAAACATTCTGAGTTTCAGCACCTTTTCAGCAGTCTCATTGATGCTACTTCTGACTTTCAAACTTGGATTTATTTTAATACTTTGTATAATTTTATTCCAATTAAAGTGTATGTTAATATCTATATTTATAGAAAAGAAAGTTATGAATTTTCTGGCATTTAGGATGATGCTAAGCAGAATGCTCACAGAAACGTATTTGTTTTCTATTTAAGGACTTGTTCAGTTTTCAGTCATTGCCTGCATCATCTGATCTAAAACTTTAAATTTTCTTTATTTTATTTTATTAGCTTTTTTTTAAGCTTAGCCTAACATGTTATACTTTATATTTCTACACAAATTCACATATTTTCACAGCTCTTAGTAGTTATTGTGCAAATATTGTACATTTCTAAGTTCCTTCCTATTTGCTCACAGTTGAAGATAATTGAAATAGGACACAAGATGTAATGGATTATTGGTCTAACTCCACCAGCAGTAGTGTATTGAGTTTTTTGACATATGAAGTATTGCACTCTAAATGTTAATTTTTATTCATTTCAAACATTCAGTTTGTAACCCAAAATAATAACATGCACAAAGAATACAATGTCCTATAAGTATTATAATTTAACTGACTTCCTAATTAAGCTATAAGTAGTATAAGGTTCATTGGAAAGTCTGAAGGCTTATAATGTTAAGCATCAGGTTTAGATGCCCGTGGTGGGCAGAGCACAGATAGCTCATCATGTAGCTTCATGTTGAACAGCAACAGAGAAGCTAAAGGGATACCTGGTGCATCGATTGAACCATGTATTGTTTGTTTTATTGTATTACGAAAAAACTACTGGATGAAACAGTTTGAAACTTTATAATTACTTTGTACAGATTATGCAACTTCTGTATTTAATCTTATTGTTGTACATGATATTTGTAAGAATTTGTGGTTTTGAAAGTTTGAAAAAGTTTCATTGTGTTGTTTTTTAAAAACAACTAAAATGTTTACCTATGTTGTATATTTTAATTACCGAGTTTTCTCTCTCCCCACACTAAAAACGTTTGTAAAAAAATGTTTAACAGTACCAAAGTTATAAGCAAGTCAACTTTTTTTCAAATTAATAAGCAAAAGGTTTAATTTAATATATAGTCTACACACACACACACATTCTTTTTTAATTTTATATATACATATATATATAATTTTTTTCCAACATCCATTATTAACCATTCAAAAAATTTCTTACGCTGCTGACATGGCCTAATGCAAATTAGTCCTAACACAGCAGTCTTGTCTGGAAAACAAAACTCTGAGATCAAGAGCAAAATGACTTAACTAAGCTTACAAAAATATTTCCTACCATACTTCAAAATTAGAATTTAAAGGACACGGGATGATAAAACATGCTTTTTGCAAGCTTTTTTTTTTAAGAAAAATAAACATAGTGGGACTGTAATTGTAGCATAAGTTGTTCTCAAGCACCTTTTCTTCTAGACGTATTACCAAGCTAAGCTTTTATTATTTTCTTCCAATATCTTTGCATATCTCCACTGAAATGAAAGCCTTTTTGGCTTTTACAGGAATTAAAAAAACTTTCATGGCATGTTTTGATAAGTAACCTATGACTTCTCAAAGCTGAAATATAGTTAATTATAACACACCATGACAACTGAGGTTGAGAAATAGTCATTGGCTAAAAATCGATAAAATTGCACTTTTGTTCCTTTTACAAGGAAGATTTGTTCAACACAATATGCTCAAAAAAATTGATAAACATTAATGATTAAGCTGTAAGTATACTGAAACCAATCCAAAATTAGCAGGTTTCTATGTTATAAGTTTATTCTCTGTTCTTTTTTTTTTAATTCAGCACCACAAATCTGTGCATGAAATATTTAAAGGATTTAAAACACTTGTAAAATCTAAGTGTTTTATTATTCTACAATTAACTGACCATATTCTATAATTAACTGACTAGTTTTTATCTGTCCTTCATAGGAAAGAAAAGAATATCACAATGTTTGACGGGAGAGATGCGTGTGAGATGAACGTGTAAGTTTAAGTTATCTTTTATTAAAATCATATCTAACAATTTGACTGTAAGGTATTAGGAAATATTTACAGGGTATAGAAGGTTGTTACCAGAAATATTTACAGGGTATAGCAGGTTGTTACCAGAAATATTTACAGGGTATAGTAGTCTGTTACCAGAAATATTTACAAGGTATAGCAGGTTGTTACCAGAAATATTTACAGGGTATAGTAGGCTGTTACCAAAAATATTTACAGGGTATTGAAGGTTGTTACCAAAAATATTTACAGGGTATTGAAGGTTGTTACCAAAAATATTTACAGGGTATAGCAGGTTGTTACCAGAAATATTTACAGGGTACAGTAGGTTGTTACCAGACATATTTACAGGGTATAGCAGGTTGTTACCAGACATATTTAAAGGGTATAGCAGGTTGTTACCAGACATATTTACAGGGTATAGCAGGTTGTTACCAGAAATATTTACAGGGTACAGTAGGTTGAGTAATGAATGAATGACCCCTTTTGTCCAAATTTATAAAATTGTTATTAATACAAAACTTCTTGTTTTTGTTTGACAGCAAAATTGATTACGTAAATTATTCTTAAACTTCAGTTTCATTGAGATTTATATCTAAGTTTATTTTAAGTATATCTAAGTATTTTATTATGTGAATTTACTTCAGAACCAGATGTAGGTATAGAAATGTGAATGATACGTTACTTTGCGTTATGATGCAGATACTATTTTTCTGATCACTGACTTCTATCCAGTAACAGAATAACTTAGTACAACACACAAAACTTTAAACTACTTTTCTGAGCATGAAACTATACTCTAATAACAGAATATCCTAGTTTTATGTTTTACCATTCACTTCTACGACAACTACAGTAAGAGGATAACTTGATTAAAAGTTTTGTCCGTTGTTGCAAGTTCATCATTTAATCCAACTTTATAACTCTTCTCAGGTGGAAAGTCATAGATAAAGAAGCTACAGATGATAAGAACAAGACCACTATTTATCATCTTATAACGCACCTAGAACCTTTCACTCAGTATGCATTCTACATCCAAACTTACAACCTGGCCCAAGCGGCAAAAGGGGCTAAAAGTGAGATCAAGTATTTCACAACCAGTCCCGACAGTATGTATCGGATAACTTGTTTTGCATAAACGTTTTTCAGTAATGAAATGTATTATATTCATATTTTGTAAGTCCTTTCCATAAAGCATTTTTTAGAGAATGTTTGAGTGTCAGAGTAAAATAAACTTTATCTATGTTGTTTTGCATAAAAGCTTTTTAATAATGAAATGTATTAGATTCATATTTTCCTTTCCATAAAGCATGTTTTAGAGAATGTTTGAATGTGAAAGTAAAATAAATTTTATCTACGTTAGCTCCTAGTCCTCCACTGAACGTTCATTCCCAAGCTATCTCGGTTGGTGAGATACGGATAAAATGGCAACCACCCAAAAGGCCCAATGGGAATGTTACACACTACATCGTGAAGGGCAAGCGTGAGCTGGATTCTACAGATTATATTCGCCAGAGGGACTATTGCACCCAACGTAAGTTAAATTGTGGTGCATTTTTAATAAATTAACTTTTACTTTCATTTAAGTGATCATAGACAGTGATGTCGGGGTATCGAAGAGCTAATTAAGCTCTAAGTTGACAGTTAAGTTACTTACCCTGAGATTTGTGTAACAAAATAATAAAAAGATGTCATTCTTTGGTGAAGTGTGATCATAGACAGTGATGTCAAGGTGTTGAAGAGCTAATTAAGCTAAGTTGACAGTTAAGTTACTTACCCTGAGATTTATGTAACAAAATAATAAAAAGTAGTCATTGCTTGGTGAAGTGTGATCATAGACAGTGATGTCAAGGTGTTGAAGAGCTAATTAAGCTAAGTTGACAGTTAAGTTACTTACCCTGAGATTTGTGTAACAAAATAATAAAAAAGTAGTCATTGCTTGGTGAAGTGTGATCATAGACAGTGATGTCAAGGTGTTGAAGAGCTAATTAAGCTAAGTTGACAGTTAAGTTACTTACCCTGAGATTTGTGTAACAAAATAATAAAAAA